TTCAAGAGCCTTTCAGGAAACAATTTTCTCTTGTTTTATAAAAACGCTTTAAGTGTCGTAAATGGTTTGTTATTCAATTAATTATTTTTCACGACGATGAAAGTAGCTCCCCCCCCCTCTATTTAATAGTGTTGTGACATTTTAGCAGGGCTTTACTACACTAATCCATCAATGAAACAATACATGCGACTCACATTCGTTGATGCAGTCTTGCGGACAGATGTGCGGAACGGTGCGCTCCAGTTCGTCGCATTCGTTGTCCGGACAGAACAACAGATTCGGAGAACAGGTGGAATAATATTTCGACATGTGAGCAGTGTTGTTGCCTCTCCAAACGCATCGGCCGATAAAACTGCCCTTGCTGCGCATAAATTCATTATTAAAGCCTGCTTATATTTACGCGGGATACGGAAGGAGATTCATGCGAAGTATCACGAGCTATTCCGAATTACTAGGAATGGTATTCATGGCCGGATCTTATATTCAAGACCGTCTTGAATTTATCTAAAGACGCTGCATGGAACATTTCAGTGGCTACGGAGTACCTAAAGATGATCTTAAGACGGTCTTGAATATAAGATCTGACTGTGAATACCGGCCCAGGAGTATTTTCTATTATATGGATTGTTACGCCTGCGCTAAGACGGCCCTGAAGTTCTAGCCGAATCAAGTTGCTATCGAAGCAATCGCGAAATGTCTTTCAAGAATCCTACACGGAGAGAATTTTCTCTTAAAATTTATCCTGAGAAACATCATGTAATCGTGGGACGACATGGCATTTTGAAGAATTTTATGAGAGTTTTAAGTAACTAGTAATTATACTTAGTACACATTTTACTAGTGAAATGTATGGTAAAATTTCAAAAAACTCATAAAGTTCTTCAAAATGCCATGTTGTCCCACGATTACGTAATTTCCAGGGTAAATTTTAAGAGAAAATTTTCTCCGCGTAGGCTTTCATCGGGTTGGCACCAAAGAGATGAGACGGGCCCTATAAATCTCTAGCACCTGCTCGAGATAGGACAGCAAGTTGTTCTGGTGTTTGTCTAAAGTTTGCGCCGAATTTCCCTTATTGTCGGTCAGAATGGAAATGTCCTGTTTCTCCACACGTTCAATACTCTTCCCGGTTAATAGAAATAATAAACCGTCGATTAACATCTTTTATCATATCAGAAAACGATAATCATCCAGACGGACACGGAAAGCGAGTCAAGTGGAGCGTAATGGAGGAGCCTGGACGCGCTACCATCCGAAATAGTAGTTGGATGAAATTGTGCCTCGTGGCGACGTGACTTTCCGGGACGAACAACGAAAGTAATGACCCAGTCTCCCCATTTATTTCGTTGCAGAAAATCACCGTCAATTCCGGGACACAATGATAGTGCAGCTTCGATATCAAATGAATTTGCTTTTGTATAAAGGGTCGCCATCGGTCAATAGTATTCTTCAAATAATAGCTTCTGGATTTATTATTTGAAAACTTATTAGTTTGACCTAAATATATATAATACTTTCGCGTATTTACTCAAGCAATATAAATTCCCTTTCAGATTTGTTTTATAAAATCAAAGTAAAATAAAATAAGTGAAAATCATATAATGAAAGAGATTTAATATTTGAAAATTCTTGATAGAAGCAAGTAGGATTTCGCGCTAGTTTCTAGTGGTGTAATTATAAAGTAAGATATGCAACGTTTGTGGAACGCGAGCACTTTGCGGAATGCGTTTTTGCTGCTAAACTCACTATAGTATTGGATTTATACCACGTGGAACTTAACGAGAACGTTTTTGCGGCGTAAAATATGAGAAAAATACAATACTCGGCAAAAGTTCTGCTCATGTAATTATCTACATTGCACAAGTGGCAAACAATTAAAGTTAATTGTAATCCTAGTAATTAACATTATGGAATCCACCAATTGCTACTTCATTTGATACATAATCACGATTCGATCACCCTAAGACTATTACATTTATAAAAGAAAGTTACTTCGCTAAATCGTTATTAAAAAGATATTCAGTCTTTGAAATAAAATTCCTACTAAGGATTCTTACAGTATTTATCGTCCAATAGGATTACAGTTACCGAAGGAGACTTAGACAGTCTGAGGGAAAATGGATGATACACACCTAAGGACTCCGCTGCCGACTCCGCAGGATTTTTCGCATTCCTCGCGCGTGTCCGCGTTCGCGCATGAGTGCGTCTCCTCTTGAGCCGATTGCCCGCACGTGACGATCTTCGATGGTGATACGTCAACCAGATTCACTCGCAGCGTCTTGGTCGTCGCGGTACCGTTTGCTCCGATCCATCTTAATTTCAGTCTGGTGAGCAAATCGATATATCGTATATTATGCGACAAGAAGAGCTGCTCTGGACGAGCGAGATGTTCGTCGATCTAGCGTGATCGAGACGCTAATCTTCTCGGAACACCATTAGTCTGATTATTTTTCGCGCTTATCACTTTTACAATGTTCAGTTGAATCAATTTCAAAACTCGGAAAACAATTAGATTCTTAATTAACGCGATAAAATATACGAAGCATCAAAATGTCTTCTAAGTCTTATTGATCTTCAGGTAAAAATATCTAAAGATATAAGTACCCTTTTAACATAGTTCAGATATTTAAATGCTTGACTCGAATACGAATGTAACACAAGTGCTATATGTGTTACATACGGAAAACAATTCACGTTTAGGTCGCGTTCGACCTCCTCAAGTGTCCGAATACTTAATTCGTTTTAAAGGATATAGCACATTTCAAGATACAATTACCGTAACGTTTTTAAATAGAGAAAATCGACCGACAGCAAATGTTTCATGCAATTTCATTTACGTTTTGTAGATCAGGAACATCTGCGGGATGCTAATAGCATTTTACTCTTTCAGCACAGAAACGGCTACTGGAAATAGTTCCTTCTCGCATGACACCGGGTCATTTATAGGACACGGGCGGACTTACTGAACGCTGTTGGGCTCAGATCGTAGCTTAGTTTCATCGGACACGTAAACGATGCCGTCCTGCTCGGTGACGTTGAAGGCACTCGAGCCGTTCAGGACGAAAGTTATCGAAGGATGCGGCTTCACGCTCGGTCTCGCCACGCGTAGATACTTGGGCGAAATCCGGGCTATCTTCACATTCGACGGATACGAGAACGAGGCGACAGTTGGTGGTGTCACGGTTGTTAACGACTGATGCACCGGCCCCGAGAAAGTTATGCTGATGTTTACCTGAATAAAAAAACAAAAAATAAAGAATTATTCTTGATCCAATCTGAACAAGATTTTAAAAGAAAAAATTTATTTATTATATTACTTTGCATTATAGTTACTTTTATTTTGCAGTTATTACGTTTCTAATTGAACTTAACTTGTGTGTTATTTTGTTTTTTTATCAAACAACTTTTTACGATGCTATTACGCGAGTATCGATTTTTAAATGTTCGTTTAATAATGTAAAAATACTCTTATACTCGGAAGCTTTTCTTGTAATAAGAGCTTACATAATGATTAATGGTGCGAAAAGAATCGCCTCGTGCTCGCAGAGAATCTCAAAAAAAGGACGGGGAGAAATATTATTGCTCCGAATACGCCTCTCACTTTATTTCTATACTTTCTATAATTCCTTATTTTTCAACAAAATTATTTCCTTTACAATGTTATGCGTTGCAATTATTTTAAAAACAGCTCGGCGACCTTTTTATCAAGTCTAAGGCGTGCGATGTATTATTACGTGAAAAGAGATTGGGAAGATTTGTCTAAAGAGGATCTCGAAAGAGACTCAAATGATATCTTGCCGCAAAAGATCGATATTAAAGACCACCGCAGGTGCGACTGCCCTACGTGACGCTCTTTATTAGAATTTATCGTCCATTTCTTGGTACACCCATGGAACGATTACAGCGGGAAAAGTTCTCGGTACTTAAACGCGAGTACCAATCTTTTCTTAAACGACCGCGACGCGTAGAAACTACGAATAAATTTTTATCGCGGTTTGTTTGTCACAAAAACTTCTATCTGATATTACATTAGATTTTTTAGTTTACGTCGAGTAACGTGTTTTGATCGAGGGGGAAATCCGCTGACCAAAATCTTGTACGCCAATGTCCACTAATGCCCAGTAGGCATTACTTTATCTTATTATCTTATTTTATTTTTATAATGTTCCAGCAATGTTCAATGCCCGAACTAATGCCCAAAAAGTGCCTGGTAACGTGTCGTAATGCCCAGTAATGCCGCAAATCTGTGCACCACAATGCCCTCAGCGGTGTCCCCCTCGATTTTGGATGTTTCGTTCAAGGAGCAATGCGGGGGAGAGAAAGTTCAATCGGTTTCAACGCGTATTTAACGAGAGCGATTTACAAGGATATGCGTCTCCACGGCCGGAGATCGGCAACCGATTACGAGAGAGTTAAAGTTTTGCGTTTCGCGAGAAAAGACATGATTACCCGAGGGAATCGCCGATACTTCAGACACGGCCTGATTTAAGGGTCACGGATATATATCAAGAGCGGGTCGTCGAGGTCGCTCGGATATATCGGCGTCAAGATTTATTTTCTCGCGTGGTTTCAATTTAAGCATCTAGTCGTGCGCGCCGCGGATGATATAGGGTACCCATTAAAGGTGCACGACGAGCGCGGCTCGAATTAGAACGAATACCATCCGATTATCGCTTTCACATACCGTTCCACAATCATTATCCTCTTTCCAATTACATATTCGGGATGACGTATGTTCCGCGTGAGCGGAATGTAAAATTTACGACACACGTATCGACAGTGTATTTAATAATTATTGACAAGCGGAAAAAAAGATCTCGCGATACGTCGATTTGTAATAAAAAAACATTGGAACGCGCCTCGCTCTCAATATTTAACCTCGCGTACACCTTTAGTCGCGTTCGAATTTGTCGGAATTTAAGGAATTTTCTTGCTTGATAATTGTCGCGTATCCCGTGATGAATCGACTACAAATTCTGCTAAATGCGAATGATTAAACATTCCCTCCATGAAAACGACGGACAAAATATTTGGAGATTGCATTCTACGTACGCGGAACAATGCATTTATCCGCGCGCACTGCGCTTTATGTCGCAATTCCCGAAGCTTCCTTTGCGGATTTCATCACATTGGGCAGTCAATCAAATCATCCCGACCGAACGGATGCTCTTTTTTTTCCGGGGACGGGAAAATTTTCCGGAAAGACCGTTCATTCGTTTGTCAGGAAAAACATCGAGGGCCGCGCTATTCGTATTATTCGAAACGGTGCTCGGCAATAAGTGACTTACACCCACACGCCAATTTGAGATGGCGGACGCCGAGTATTTAATCCGCGATTAGCCGCCTCCGCGAAATCAATGCCGCGCCCAAGGAACCTCTAACAAGGCGAGATTTCACCACCTAATTGTTTAATGGCCTCCGATTATACGGCGAGGCGAGGATTACGGATGCGCGGCGCACGACTAATGGCCATTAATGAGTCCTTATCTTTTAACTTCCTCGATACAAGCTTGGATCGATGGGTCGTTCCGTGCTGATCGGGAGTGGACTCGGCAGAAACGAGAGGAAATTCGCATTTAAGAGAACGCTTGCGTTTTATGAAAATATAAATACATCTTTGAGAGAGTGCGTCAGAAGCAACTCACTTTCGCAATTAACAAATTAAAAGATTAATAACATCGGTGATTTTTGTCGACCGTGTCTGGCAATTAAAATTCTTATTGCGAAAAATATTACCCCAGCCAGGATTCGAACCTGGGACCTCCCTACAATCCGTGACGGGCGTCTTAGCCAGCTCGACCACCGGGGCTGTGATAATGCTATTCGCAATAACGTGTATATAACTTTAAGATGTTGTTTACGCGTCTATTTCGACTTTTTCAGAAACTGTGCGTCGATGCGGATTGTCGACCGCACAATAACTTGTCGATACGCGATTTTTGAATTTCCCCTTTCCCTCCCCTCCCCCCCTGATCCCATTCCCCCTGACGGAGGAAAACCAAGTTTTTCGGTCCTTGGTGTAATCAACTATTATACCGGTGGTCGAGCTGGCTAAGACGCCCGTCACGGATTGTAGGGAGGTCCCAGGTTCGAATCCTGGCTGGGGTAATATTTTTCGCAATAAGAATTTTAATTGCCAGACACGGTCGACAAAAATCACCGATGTTATTAATTTATAATTACTGTTGGCGACTTTAAGAATATTCTTAATAGTAAATTAAAAGATGATTGATCGGCTACTTTTATCCCAAAGAAAGCTTTATCTCTAAAAAGAGAGAGAAATTAACAGTCTTTTATATACAATTTCTAGTATCGCACGCTTTTATCTCGCTGCCCCAACCAAACTTAAATTTCGTCAATTGTCATATGATCGTCACATGATCGGAGAGATTTGTCTTTACCGTGAATGGGTGGATATAATTTTTCATGAATAAAAGTTTCCACGCGAAGCGATCATAGATCTAACCCGGAGACCTCGCCAGGCGTCTTGGTCTTCTCGTATATTAAACCGGGTGCACTTTCGCCTCGAGTTTTGCCAGTGCAGTTTCACAAATGACATACGGCGGTGAGATATCGGGGGGCCTCTGCCGATATTGCGAAATTTATCGGTGCGAACTTTTTTAATCGAACAACAGATTACCAGCGCGGCGCGCGGCGCGTGTGCTCTTCGTTCATTTCGAATGGATGGGCCAGTGCATTACGACGAGATTTAATTCTCTGATTTAATTCTCTCACACGGCAGTCAGTTTTTAACAATTGCAGTATTTTTTCATCGTTTATCAAATTGCAAATATTTTTTTTGTAAATTTATCTTGTTGGTATTAAAAGGCTCTAATTAATTGTTTGAACACGCGCGAAAAAAAACCCCTCTTAAACTTCCTATAAGATCAGAGAAATTGTAGAGGCAGAGCACTTTGGAGTGTTCTGATCTTTTAACTTTTAAGTGCATTGGGGAAAGTTAAGGAACTAGGCTTTTACTCTGCCACGTGCTATCATGCTCTTAGTTATTTGGCCACTGTCCTTTGACACGTTGCAAATGGAGCGAATGTTTCAAGTAGCTTGCTAACGAGTGTCAGTGACATAGAATCGATATTGACTCACCGAATTTGCCCCGTATCCCGGGAGAAGCGACTCATCCGTGACCTGAAGAATTACGCGATACGGCGATTTCGGCAGCAGCGTCTTCTTGGCGTAGATCACTGGAAAAACACGGGCGAATTTTTGATTACAAGTGCACGCGGGCGCTCATCAAGTGGAGTCAATTATGAAATTAAATGAGGACCCACTGGGAAATATGCCAGTGGAAGGCGCTTCATTCGGGCGCGTGTGATGCTCGATCGGCAGAATGTTGTGACTCATATTCAATGCGTTGGCGGTGTCATTGAGCAGGCGAATGCTGTACTGGTTGCTGGTCACCGCATCCACATCCGTCAGGACCAAACGATTCTCGTCTACCAATCTAGAATCCTGTAACATAAATATTTTTTTACTACGTTGCTTGTAAGATTCTAGCCAATGTTGCCAATCTACACTGATAGAAATATATGTATTGAAACTATAATTGCATAGTAAAATAATATGTTAATTTTACACAAAGTTTATTTCAAATTATTTTGAGATTTGCATTCATTTTGTGTTAAAATATTAACAGAGTATTAGTGCACTGAAAAAAAATTTCTGGTTGAATATGGACGAATCAGATAATTCCTTTAGGATTTACCAGAATTTCTGTAGGATTACAGGAATTCTGGTAAATCCTAAAGGAATTATCTGATTCGTCCATATTCAACCAGAAATGTTTTTCAGTGTGTAATTGTTGACAGAAAAATTTGTGTGGACCGTTTGGGACATGTGATATCTGTTAAATTTAACACAAATTTTTCAACTGTGTAGAGAGAGACGCGCGGTATAAGACGTTCTCGTAAGAAAAAAATCAATTCATTCGCCACAGTCATGATACTAGAAAAGTTTCGGTTTCATCGTACTTCCACAGTATAATGTAGAAAAATCAATAGAGGAAGCTACTTTTTAACGTGACTATTTTTTTGCGATCTTTAGTACCGAATTACTTCCACAACCGTTTTAAGTATTTTCACTGCACTTAGCGAAACGACGCGAGATTTCGATTAACCGATCGAACTTCGCTCATTAAAGTCTCCAACTAGATTCGTAGAGAATCTTCAGGTGTTTCAACGTTCGAACGGAACAATTGCTTCTCTATGGAAGTGAAATGAACAATAAAAAGTAAGCCGAATGAAGGGGAGAAAAGATGTTTACCGCGGACTGTGAAAAGTGGAGAAGGAAAGAGAGGATTTGACGCGTTGGGGAGAGAGGCATCCCGAGAGAGGTTTAATCAACATCAATCCCAGAAGCTATTCCCCTCTCGTCGTACGTATACTTCATCACTCTCGCATGTCTTTTGTAATACTCGTCGCACTTGGCGTTTCCTTTTTATTATGCACGTCGCGTTGAAAACAACGCGGTAATTACGCGAACAATGAGCGCTTGATTAAGTCTCGTTTCCGACGTGATAATGTTGCGGTTGAAAAACGCGATTCGTTCGCTGAATTTGCCAAATAAAATGCTCCTGAGTTTAGAACATGTTAGCAGAAGAGATGAGAACAATTCAAGTTATTCGTGCAAAAAGACAAATGTTCGTTCGGCGATTTTCACTTACTTTTTATTATTATTATTTGCATTTTCTGCAATATTCTCTCTCCAGAATAGTATCTTTCACTTTTACATTTTACATATAATTATTTACAAATAAAGGTGCCATTTAAAGTCCAATGTAATAAACATTTAATTTTCTTTTAGTAAAAGATAAGAAAAAGGGATACTATCAATACCGTAAAGTTAGATTAGAATTGGAACATGGACCGAGCGGGATTTCGATATAGATCAGCGGCGCCCTTATGCTCCGATGACGATAAATCTATGTGACTTCCTTAATACTAGGGAGTTAATTGGACCCAGCTACTCGAACAATCGTGGCAAGTGCTAATTTAGAACGTTCGATTTAGAACTGCTCGATTTCGCTCTTTGATACCGTAAAGTTACCTTGGAGAATTCCTCGAGTGTTATAGCGATGGAAGTCTCCCCTTGCACCATCGGAGGATTGTCGTCCTCGTCCAGGACGTCGATGGCGAGGACGTCCGTTTGCACGTGCTGCATCCCGGTCTTTTCTTCCCAAACGACACATCTCACGTGAATCTTGACGTGAGGTCCAGGTCCTGCCGGAGGTCCGATAACATCTCGGTCTAAGGATGCGTTCGCAAATAACTTACCGTCGACTACGTGAAAATAGTCCGTTCCTGAAACACGAGAATAAAACTTAACTCATTGTTTCCTAATCATATGCTTGAAGTGCAATATCAAATGCGATATAATATGTACGTTATTCAAAAGTGGCTTGTGGGAACGAAGCAGCTTTATCGTTAGCATAAATTAACATAATCGAGGAGGTTCCAGGAAGATTCCGTGGTGCAAGCTCCAATTTTATTAGATACAAAGCGAATAAAAAATATTGTTATAATATTTGATAACAGTAATAAATTATATACATACATATTTATATAATATTAATGTATATTACTGTTAAAATCATAAAATAATAAGAGCGAGATAATATAAAAATTATTTTCATATTTTTGTAATTTTGGATACCGATATCCAAGTTATTATTAATATTGCAGTACTGATGCATTCACAAATTACGTATAATCGTAAAATATTAAAGTTGGTTAATATTTGAATGTAAATTATCGTATATGTGGGTGAATATATTCATTTCGCGGTTTAATATAAAAGTTTAATGTTTATGTCTCACTATTGTAAAAGTGAGTTCTCTCTCTCTCTCCCAAAAGCTCGCTTGAAATATGGCGCTTGCAACATTTTCCCGGTAGCCACTTCTATTGTATTCAGCGGTCAAAAAATAAAATTTAAACTGTCGGTGAAGAGATTTGGGGGTTTGATATATGATACGACGCATACAAAGAGGGCCACAGGTTTCCGTTGTTATGTGTTATGTCACTGTTATAGTAACGACGTCTTCAGCGAATTTTAATGACGACAGATTTGGGCTGATCCCGCCGGCAGCTTTAGCGTCGTTCACTGCCACGAGCAGTCGCGGCAGGATTTATTTGTATTTTACGTCGAATGACTCCAATCAATCACCGTTTCGCTTTCCCGGCTTTGTCAGTGAAAAATGCTCGATCCTTGATGGAGGATTTATCTCTCGTAAATATGAACCTGACACAATTCAACGAAGATCGCTAGGGCGACAATACGATTTATCGAGAACACTTCAACCAGGGAAGATGAACATCTTAAACGTGAGGAGAATTCAATTTCTCAATTTCTATGCTGGATCTTCGTTACGCTGGACACTTCGAAAAATTGAAAATTTGCGGATAAAATTAAGTTTTAAGCTCGAAATCTAAATCATTTCCATTCGTAAAGTAATCGAACGTGGTGTCAGGAATTATGCGAGATTGGATTTGAAAAGATTGAAACTGAAAGGATTGAGATGCCGCTGAGGATACTTGCCATTCAATAATTCATATCTGGTGACGGGAAATTCGGGGCATACGTGGCTGTATGCCTCCGGGCCGAACATGCCAATCATGGTGACCGGTTGATTCTCATAAATCTTGTATCTCGACGTGTCCCAGAAGCACATGTCCTATAACACTAGGAACTTTGTAGACCAACGCCTCCGATAAAATATATCTCGACGTTTTAACCCGTTAATGGTCGTTTATCTTCTCGCATCACAAAGCAATCAAATGGAACAAATGCCTACGACTATGTGTAATGTGGTTTTTTTTTATATATTCACCGTATAATAGGTGGACTATTATTAACTTATCTTATTATTCAGATTAATATTTATTATTTGTGCGCATGCTACAAATTCCAACTGGCTATTGTGACGGTTAACTGATGAAACGGGTCACTCGCGCGTATATTTGAGAGGAAGTAGAAATTTATCACGATAATTTACCTGCATGAAATCTGCACAATTGATTGTTTTGCCTGTCACCGGTACTGCTTGCACTTTCATTTCCAGCACCGCTTCACCAAAATTCTTTTCCGTCGCTTTGATAACGACATTGAGGACGCCTTATAAAATAAAACACAAAAACTATTTTAGTTAAAATTAAGTTCTA